AAAAAAAAAAAAAAAAAGAAAATGTAGCCTAGTTTGATAAATTCTTAAAATAAATAATCACAACCTAAGGCAAAAAGCAATTTTATTTGCAATTAACAAGTTTCTTTTCTGTGCTTCTTCACTCAAGTCCCCAGTAAAACAAAGGGATCAAACTCACCGAAACAACACAGTCCACAACAGGCTTCTTAAGAACACTTTCTGCTGTCTCCTTCAATTTGGACAAAAGCATGGCAGTCACTTGCTCTGTAGTAAAATTTCGCTCTTCCTCCATATATTTTACCTGCAATAAAACAACAAAAGGATCTAGGCTTATTAAAGTTTCTCATGTCCTAAAAGCCTTAAAATGAGCAATATCTAACACATCATCAAAGAAACATTATCTCAAGAGGGAACAAAACACTATTTAGGGAAGCAAAAATAGCTTTAAAGTCACTTTTAGCTTTTTAACATGCTTGTCAAACATGAATACCTGCAGACAAGTACCATTACATAAACAATATACAGTGACCACCAACAAAACCTAAGACAATTACCTGTACACACGTAAACTGGTATAAATCACATGACCCACACTGCACCTCTATAAAGGGGTCTGGTGGTGGAAACTCTTGCCACATGGACTAATACGTGTTTTTTACTTTGTTTACTGTGGTGACTTTATGGTCATTTCCAAAATTAGGATCCAATCTAACTGGAGGACACAGTTTTTGTCCCATTTGTTCATTGCTATAGCCAACACCCAGGACAGACCTGACCCCCATAAGTACTTCTGAATTAAAGAATTTAAAGAATTTATTCATTTAATTCAAGATACGCTACGCTGCAAAAAATGTGCAACTTGGGTAAGATTTGCAAACTTTAAATGCCGAAAGACTGCCTGGGATAAGCCCCATCCCACAAGCCCATATTCCCCCAAATACAATCCATACCACAAAACAGACCTCTCTTCTTTCCACTGCTCCAAATGAACCTGCACCCCACCTTCTCCTTACCTCTTCACTCCCCAACCCACTCCTCATATATTCTGGCTCACCATCTAGGAGTATCTCACTTTATTGCATATAAAGATGGGAAAGTACCCCTCCCTCCCCATAAGCCTCTTTCTAAGCTGCCTCTTCTTCCCCATTTGCTTAATTCTTAGTCAATTCCTCCACTCTTGTACTTGGATCCACTTGTCCCCCAGGTCTTTTCCCTAGTCTCCTCCTCCTTTGGCTCTTACAACATTTATTACCAAATGTGCCAATACCTATACCTATTTCTTTCCTAACTATAAGCACCCTCCATTTATTCACCTCCTTTTTTTCCCTTTTTCCCCTCCCCTGTGCTCCAGATTTATCCACTACCAGCCCATTCAAACTGTTCTGAGATTATTGCCACAGATGTCCTAAGATTAGTCTTCGGTTATCAGAATTCTTCACTTCCAAATTCAACCTAATTCTCAGCTACAACAGCACAACTGACTACCTTTTTTTTTTTTTTTTTAATTTTTTTTTTTTTTAACGTTTATTCATTTTTTTGGGACACAGAGAGACAGAGCATGAACGGGGGAGGGGCAGAGAGAGAGGGAGACACAGAATCCGAAACAGGCTCCAGGCTCTGAGCCATCAGCCCAGAGCCCGACGCGGGGCTCGAACTCACGGACCGCGAGATCGTGACCTGGCTGAAGTCGGACGCTTAACCGACTGCGCCACCCAGGCGCCCCTGACTACCTTTTTCTTATCATCCTCATCATCTCTTACATTTGAGCCTATTCCCGTGATCATGATTTCTCCAACTGGGGTGTCTCAAACACCAAATCTCCTCTTGCTAAACTGAGTTGCCTGGAAAGCTCGATCCACCCTTCTGGATTCCTCTTACCACCTCTGAGTAGAGGGAAGAGTGTCCCCATCCTATCCATCCCTGAGCCTCTCACCTCTTTTGTATGATCAGCTCACTTAATACTTCACAAAGTCTTCTGGATGTCACAGAGATACCAAAAACTTTTCCCTAAAAGAACAATACCTCTTTCCAATCTAAGTTCTATTGTCAAGAGTATGACCATACATTTCATTAGTGACTTTAAAGTGTAAATTTCTTTGCTGGTATTGCAGAAAGTCATTCACTAAAATCACACTGGAAAGACTGCTCCATCAGTAAACAAGACAAGCAGCAATGGCAGTGTTAACTTCAAACCACTACCACCCATCAGTCCAACCCATAGTAACAGTGCCACCTATCACTCCCAATCAAATTCCAGGTCATTCAAAAAATGCCAAATGCCAAATGGTCTTTACTAGCAAAAGCTTCTCCTAAACATTTGTTAACGTTTTCGCTACAACTTGAACTCAGAATAAAAGATACAAATAAAACACTGTATTCATAAGGCATCACTTTGGGAACCTTACCTTTATACCAGTTAATCCAGTGGGCAGCTGCACAATATCATATGCAAGGTTAGATTTTTCTGCCTCCACAAATGGATCAGAGAATGCTCGGCCATGGAATCTTTTAAACCCCTGGACTGTGTTCTTTGCATTGGAGATCACCTAAGAGAAGGAATATCAGAGTCAAAACGTAAAAAGACTAGGAGCAATTAAATTAAAAAAAAAAAAAAAATTCAGGGATACCAGGGTGTCTCTGTCAGTTAAGAGTCTGACTCTTGATTTCAGCTCAGGTCATGATCTCACAGTTCTTGGGATCGAGCCCCACATAAGGCTGTGTGCTAACAGTTTGGAGACCGCTTGGGATTCTCTCTCATCTCTCTTTGCCCCTCCTCTGCTCCCACTAATGTGTGCTGTGCTCTCTCTCAAAATACAGTTTGAAAATAAAATTCAGCAGCCTCAGACTCAATTAGCAACATTTTAACTCCACAAAGTTTCCTTCTGAGTTCCATTTTCTTCGGCATTACACCTTTCTGTATGATCTGCTCACATGTGAAGTGAGGAATAAGGGACCTGTACAGACCAGAGTGGCAGGGATGGCACTAGAGCCCAGCTTGTCCTACTTCTCCATGAAGACATGTACAAAGGTATCTGTGATTCTTAAACTTCTAATCAACATTTACATAAAATGACCTTTAATTTTTAAAAATTACCATAGTCTGTGATTCAAACTTTTCAGGAGTCAATTTGGCAATATCAATTCAGAAATTCTAGTGAAAGAAACTTAAGATTACAAAAAAAAGATAACATTAAGTACACAAAAATAAATGCAAGACAGTGACCAAGTATTATTCATAATAGGAGAAAACTGGAAACAGCATGGATGGTCAATTAACAGGACAGTGGGTTTAAAAAATAAAATGTATCCATATACAGTGGGTAACATTATTTTAGAAAGTTGGAAGTATCTATATGGTATGATCTCACTTTTAGAGTGAAGGAATCATTTAAACCCTTAGAAAGCAAAAAAGTTTATACATTAAGATACTAACAGTGATTTCTGGATAACGATACTATGTTTCACTTCCAAGTTTCTTTTACTTTTGTAAGAACCGCAGAGCTCCTCTTGTCAGCTACGTTAAAAGGCAGACAGAAGTCCTTTTACAAAACAATACGAGGCCTCCAAAACCAGGCCCTACTTCAGTAGGCTGCCAAGCAGAAACTCAGTATCACAGTAACTATGTCATCCTAGAAGTAGACAGGCAGTTGAGTACAAGTTAACTATTCTCAATAATGAAAGCAAGTTTCAAAACAAAAGAACTCACTGGAATTTCAGAAGGCAAGACATCCCAAACTAGTTCTCTACTTGGTATCTACTGCTCCCTAACATATATTCAACTTTTTGAAAATCAGATTATAAAACACCCAATGTGACTAAATATGTGACTAAAAATCTATTGGCTAAGCACCATTTCCATTGTCTCAGGCTTTTTCTGTTGTTTTTTTTTTTGTTTTGTTTTGTTTTGTTTTATTAACCTCTACACTCACCATGGCACGCAAACTCAAGACCCCAAGATCAAGAGTTGCATGGTCTTCCAACTAAGCCAGCCAGGGGCTTTTAAATCGGAAGCCCTGCCCAGTCCAGAAAAAAGACAGGGTGCTCCAGGCTGAACCAGAAAAAAGATCAAATATGCAACTCTTTTACAGTCATTTCAGGCCCTCAAACACAGAACTCCTGGGAGTTCTGACACTCTGGTTACTCAGAAACCAACAAAGAATGTCAGGTGTAAAGTAAATAAAGTAAACTAATGTCAAGTGTGCTTCTACAAGTATGTTTTCCTTCTTTAAGAACCTTGATTAACAAGATCAAGTCTACAAACAACGACTCTAAGCAGGAGTAAGATGAAGACCCAAAAAGACAGACTTTAAGGAACACGTAAAATAAATGGGAATAAGTGAGCTTTGCTTAAACAAGATCTGGGCAAAATACCTCCTAGGGTCTTACATTAAACAGATTATACCGTTTATGTCATTTTAAAAAGCTATTTGCTTCTCACTCAAGCACAGGAGACTAAGATCAGACCTGTCTTTCTCAGCTGTCCACTTAGGGACTGCCATACTAGGCACGTAAAGGGCACTCCAATAACTGCTGAATGAAAAGATGGACAAAACAGAGAAGTCAGTCATTTTAGGAAAAAAAAAAAAAAACTCTACCTGGCTTTTAGCTGCTGCTCCAATTGAACGATTCTTAGGACCAAAAGAAATGCAAGCCCTAGAAGAAAAAACATTTAGGCATCAAACCTTACTGCAACATTACGTCCAGGCAGGATTACATCACCAGAGCAGGCAAGTTTTCTGAGTGCGAGGTTAAAAAGCCACATTTGTAAAAGCACACAGTAAATCTGATTTTGCCCTCTCCATTGAGTACAACTATCCATGAGAATGGGCGGCATCTGGAGCCCTGTCATTTAGACTTTGAAGCACAAATCTGATGAGATAACCATCTGTCTCACAATACTACCAACAGGCGGACCAGCCCATCTCCACTATTCTCTTATTCTTCAAGTCTGGGGCTCAAAATGCCAACACAAAGTAATGTACCCCCTTACTAATACATCTTGCCTTTTCAAACAGCTTACAACCTCACCAAGTAGTCTATAAACCTGGAGAACTTCTGTCCTCCTATATATAGTAAAAGTTAACTTTAGTAGCAATGATTATACAAACTGTTTACATTTATTACCTCATTAAATTCTCAAGAGTTCCACCTTATCCCTCTTTTATAGGAAAAGAAACTGAGCCCAAAAAGGTGAAGTAAACTTATCCGGGGTCACACAACTTAAAAGCAATGAAGTGAGACTCTAGATCCTTTCTCCATACCTTACACCCTACCTTGGACCCTCTCTATCTGCCCTACACCCCTAGTTCTTCCAATTTAGAGTAACTAAGCTCTGGAGTCATATTGCCTTGGTCCAAATCTGACTATATTAAATGACCTACTGAGAATTCTTTTACTTTAATAAACTTACTAGCCCTGTGCAATCTGCCAGGAGGCTGGGCCTTTCTGTGCCTCAGTGGCCCTTTCCACCCTATAGGTTAAGAACCCCTGTGAACCAATCTCCCAGAGCAGTTGAAGGTAACTGTGCCCTGTAGGAGTATGGCATAGCCTAGGATCTCCTCAGATATGCTCTGAACTCTTAAACTCTGCAGGACTAGAATGTGCTGGATGTAGGCTCCTAGAAACAAGCTTAGCTTTTCTGCATATATATAACACTAGCCACTAAAATTTCTTTTTAAATGTCCTCATTACTACATAAATATCTCTATCACAGCCCACATTGCCCTTTAGAAAATGCTAATGATAATCTTATCCACTCCATTCACCCTCTCCACTCGAAAAAGGCCTTCTAGCCTAAGCCTAACAATGGTAAACTCACATCTTTTCTAAATGTCACCAGAGCTGAATTTCTAAGGTGTATCACACCAACACCTCAATCCCAACATAATTATAGGGCAACATTATTTATCTTCCATTGTTTCCTGCAGCCCTTTCTTCAAACCTTCATCTCCTCAAAACAAGCGCTGGGTCTTACAATAAAAAACATTAATTTTCTCAACTTCATTATATATCCTGTTGAAGGTTAATTTTCCCTTCTACCTGGAGAACTCTGAAGTGGTCTTGCTTGTGATTACCTTCCAAACAAAATCAATAACCAACAAATAAAGCCCAGGTTCCTTAACTGTGGAACTTAAGACCTCTCACCAACCCAACCCCAACCCCATTTTCCACCCGCATCTCAGGCAAAGTGACCCAACACAAGTTAGTCATCCAATCCTTCTGCTTTGCTCATACCACTTTTGCCACCTGAAATGCCCTGGCCCTTCTATATGCATCTCACTCATTCTCCAGAAGCATCACCCACTCTGTCTGTGAATCCTTCCCAATGTCCTTCAAGTAAAACTTAATCTTATTTCTACCTCTTAAAACTTACCAGAATTGGGTTAAAACTTGCTGGACTTTGGGCTATGCAATACAGAACACCTCCACCTCAAAGAATGTTCTATTATACAGAGCTGCCGTAGGTAATGTTCTTGAAGTCAGTTAACATTTTTACCTACTTTTAAAATCTACATCTGCTTTAACAGTAAATATATGGTTTTATTTTGAAATTTAACTTATAAACCTTTAAATATTTGACTAATCAGGAATTTTTCTTGTATGTGGTTTGAGGCAGGGATCTAAAATTTTTGGGGTGCCTGGGTGGCTCAGTCAGTTAAGCGTCCAACTTTGCCTCAGGTCATGATCTCACAGTTTGTGGGTTCAAGCCCCGCATAGGGCTCTATGCTGACAACTCAGAGCCTGGAGCCTGCTTTGGATTCTGTGTCTCCCTCTCTCTCTGCCCCTCCTCTGCTTGTGCTTGGTCTCTCTCTCTCTCTTTCAAAAATAAATAAATGATAAAGAAAATTAAAGAAAAAAACTGTTTTGCACATCTTGAAAAGCTAAATAAAAGTTGGTCTCAGTTCAAATTACAGTTGACCCTTGAACAACAATGGTTTGAACTATGGGTATTTTGTGATACAGTACAGTACTATAAATGTATTTTCTCTTCATTATCTTCTTACTGACAATTCTTTTCTCTAGCTTACTTTGTTCTAAGAATAGAGAATATAAGACATATAATGCATAAAATGTGTTGACTGTTTTTCAGTAATGCTGCCAATCAACAGTAGACTATTAATAGTTAAGTTTTTGATTAGTCAAGTTACAAGGAGATTTTTGACTATGCAAAGGATTGTCACCCCTAACCCCTAAAACTGTTCAAGAGTCAGCTGTATTCATCCTTTTTTGGCTCATACATACACACACTACTGTTACAACTTCTTACAGAAAAATCAAATGTCACTACTGGAATGTCAATCTTCACCACATGATACAGCACTAACACCTCAAACAAGGCATAACTCCTGCAAGTATGTGGAAAGTCCACATTTTCCTTAGCATATCATAGAAAACCATCAATATCCTATCACTACAAAGCAAATTACACTCCACAAAGTTCTTTAATAGTAAGCCCACTGCACTAAAGAAAGAAATCCTTAGGTTTTCCCCCTTGCCATCAACTTTATTGGTTTGAATACAAGCGCAGTAAGAAGAGTTCAGACTCTAGAATCCGTATAATCATTATGGATCTGTCCAAATCCCTTCTCGGCCGTTCTAGCTGCATGACCTCTCTGCCACTTAACATCTCTGAAATTCTATCTGCTCGTCTCCAAAATGGGGAAGTTAGGGCATCAGCCTTAACAGCTGAGGAGAGCAGGAGAAGGTCACGGTGGCAGAAGACGGCTCCTTCTCCTACCAAAAGCAAAGATCACTCTGCCGACAAGTCCCAGGATCATTCTAAAGATAAAGGGGCCACCAAGTAGTCTAGCGAGAATGATCACCGCAGGAATAAAGCTTGGAAGAGATGCAGTGCTTCCATGCTTCCTCTGGTGGCAGCAACACCAGGTCGTGGTCCAGCTCTACCACCAGCACAGGTGTGAGCAGAGGCCCTTGCTCCTCTTTAGCATCTAGCTGCTGGGGAAGTTCCAGCGTGCCCTGCAGCTCCAGCTCCAGCTCCAGCAGCTCCTCTGGCTCACAGAGTCCTAGGCATCGACACGACAATAGACGGTGCTCCCACTTGAAATCCAAACCACCCAAAAGAGGTGCAAAGGAAAGGAAAAAGCAGAGTCCTTCCCCTAAACCAACCCAAGTGCACATCAGAAGGCTCACTAGGAACGTGAGCACGGACCACATCACGGAGATATTGTCCACCTCTGGGAAAACTTAAATGATTAACGTGCTTGTTTCTACAACCTCTACATCCTTTCTAGGATGCACCCCCATCTGTCTACAGGCTAAGCGTCTATGGAGTCTGAGAATCCAGATGAACGAGGTGTTGGGACAAAGGACAAATCAATGGTCAAGAGATCACTGGCACAGCTGTGCTGGCTCCCTGGCCTAGGCCGCCCCCAGGTGATTCAGCCCTCCCAGAAGAATGCAGCCACCCCCGACCATGTGGTGCCAGTCACCCCCACAGATAAAAAGACAGAGTTCCCTGAGGCGCAGGCCTCCCCGTGTGCCGGGGATGTCACTCCCCTGGTGGCTGCTGTGGCCACAGGAGCTGCTCCAGCTCCAACTCCTCCCGATAAATAGGGCCACCGAACCTCTGCGCCGTGACTTCTATCCCATCCACTTCAGTTCTGTCACTTTTCTAAGCAAAACAGGATTGGTAGGGAGGAAAGAAATTCCTTATTCAAGGTTGGCCCAAACAACCAGCAACTGAGACATTTCCTCTGACAGCAGAGTTCCAGTTGCAGGAGTATTACTGGTTTGGGGTTGTGCCCATAAAGATGCTCTCCAGTTTTCAGGAGCTCATGAGAGAGTCACTTTAGTGGCAAAGTCATCAAGGACAAGCAGGGTAGCAGTGCAGCCCCAGCCTGGGGGTATGATTTTCATATCCACAAATGACGGAGGTCTAATCTGGTGGCCTGGTCATGCCCTTGCTTATTGGTCTGCAGGATCTCTCAGGAAGGAACGCACTTTTGAGCAGCTGCTGTTCCTGCTAGCCTGGCCCTGCTCCCCTGCTCCAGTCCTCTTCCAATGTCTAGGGTCAAACACTCCGTGTTAGTTCCCGAAAATGGTTCTATTTTTACATGTACTCATGCACACACACCCACATCCCAGGTCTGCATTTCTCTCTGAAATTGGTGAACAAGTTGAGAGCCAGCTCTGCAGAGTCATAACTGCACGGACCCCTCTACGGCAGCTGTTATTCATGGGGGGGGGGGGGTCTTTTGCAGGTTACCTTGGCAATATGTATAGTACTTTTTGGCTTTTATTATACAGTCAGTACTGTAAATTTTGTTTTTGAGTTTTATAACTTGTAGCATTTGCGGCACTGTGGTGTTTATACTTTACTGTGTAGAGTGAAAGGAATGTGTTGAATAAACCTGGGATTAGAATGCAGATTGGAAAAAAATGAATAAAATGGGGAAAATTACAGCACCTACCTCATACCTGTTACCAAGATTAAATGTGGTGATCCACTTTTAAAGGGCTTATATCAGAGGCTGGTACATTATAAATAATATTAGCTATTATTATAGCTCCATGAAGCCCTGGTTTGAGTCTCATTTAAAAATATACAAACTAATTTGCTATAAAAGTTCTGCTTCACCTTCAAGCTATCCATTAAAATCCAGTCAGCCATCTTCAAAATGATCTACCTAGGA